CACCCTTTAAGTTATATTCCATTTTCTTTCCTTGCTGTCCATTTTTATGTTGTTATTTTCTATTCCACATTTTTTTTGTTGTAATACAGTTTGGGAGTACTTCATGAGCACTTAGTAACTACAGGTAACCCCAGTGAGTTCCTATTTCTCATGACATTAATTGTCCCCTTACAAAGACAAGCGGCACTAATACAGCTCCATGCAACAGTGACATGCATCCATTAGAAAATATCAAACTCTCTGACTCAGAACTAGTTTGGACATGATTCCTGATTTTCTTCTCTGGGAAAAGGAGCTGTGATCCTGTCATGTTTTTTTTTCTGAGTCAATCATTTCTGTTAATTGTTATTTTCAGGAGTAAGCCTGCCACAGTGACATCAACATTGGTTCTGAGATTGTGTAGGCTTATTTCTGTGCTGAATTGGTTAGATACAATATTTTTGATAAACTTTTTTAAAAATATGTTTAAATACTCCCTCAGATATGATAGCAGCACTATAGGTCACATGAAGCACTTCCATAGGTAAAAAGGGATCAGCACATGACTCTAAACATGTGTTACACCCACCTTGAAGCTAAAGCCACATGTGTGGTGCTGCGGTCACTTTATATTAGACATGCAAAAAATATTTAAAATGTTTGTAGAAAATGGTTTTAAAAATGGGCTTCTCAAGTGCTGGCAAACACTGGCAAGGGAAATCCTGGACATGAATCTTCACAGTTCATAACTTACTCTGTACAAAATTCACATGTGGTACTTTTGTACAGAAAACAAAATATTCTGCATAGGAAACAGGAGAAACAGCAGAATTTTCTGCACAGAAAATATTTCTTGTACAGCACATGCTACACACACATGCATACACACATACAGTATAAGTCAAAGGCAGATTTGGGGGCCACAATTATGGATTTTGCTATGATTCATGGAAAAATTGAGGGTAAAACTTAGAGGAATGAAACAAGCATTTTCCTTTCTTTTAGAAAATGAGTAGATGGAATATACTTAGGAGAAGCTAAAGAAAAGGAGAAAATGCATTTGCTGACCAAATACCTTATTGCAGCTCTCTCAAGAAAAGAAAATTAACAGTCCAGTAAAGCTCTGGCCTCTGAAAATTAATTTGAGAGTGTGACAAATATTGGTCCAGTCACTGGACATTTCTATTAGCCCAAATTTGGGCACCGTTGATCAAACGTGGATTGTGTTTTCCATTCCAAACTTGGTGGGGAAACAGTGTGAACCAGAATGCCAACTGAGGCAAGTTTGCTTAAAAATTGAAAATTACATAAGGCTTGTAAAATCCATGCCTTGGCCTTAAGCAATCTCTGATCATTGTCGCCCAGGTGAATAACAAGAACATCAGAAGGAGGCTGTCAGTGCTCCTCAAACCACAATGGCACCAAGCCATGACAGCTGAGTCCCCACTTTTTAGCCGCTCTAGAAGGGCGCCATCACTCCAAGCAAAGTGGGTTTCAAAGTGGCTCATACAGGCCTGACACGCCACCCAACAAAACATGCTGAGGCCACAGATCAAAATACAGAGTCCCATTGGCAATGATCTAAAATCTGAAAACAAAGAAGACTTGTTAAACCAGTTTGTTTGACATGTGATTAGCTAAAGACTTCCCAACCCATCTGTTTAATAGCAAGTGAATCATAGTCATAGTAGCAACAATCAAAACAGCACCTGTATGGAAAGAAAGAGTGAAGAACTTCATGTTTGCAATATCAAGCAGATAAAGCCTTCGAAGTAGCCATCTAAAAATGCTATTTAGGGGAGATGCAGACCGGCACAAAGGGCTGGCCTGGGGGTGGAGTGGGGGCAGGGCAGCCGCGTGCCAGCTGCCCCAACCCTGTCCTGATGCCGTGCACCTGTCCACATGGCATGCGAGATCAGGAGCCATCATCATGACTGAAAGGGCAGCCTTTTGCTTCCCCCAAAAGGAGGATCGGGGCCACCATGTGCAGTTGCTGTGGCCCCAATCTGCCACTCCCAGGGGCAACTCTGTGCTGCATCTTTCGGACCATCTATATCAGCCCTTTGTTGCCTCCAGCTATGGGCCTTTGCAGACTGCCAGAAATAGTGCAAACTCAGTCCACTTTAAGGGTTAAGGTTAGGGAATCATGGGAACTGTATTGTATTGTGGCACCAGAGCTCTTTGACAGAGAAGGTTCAATGTCTCAGGAAAAAAAAAAACAATTCCATGATTCCCTAGCACTAACCCTAACCCTTAAAGTGGACTCAATTTGCACTATTTCTGGCCCTATGTCTTTGCCTTTGTATCATTTCAAAAGGAATGAGACACTTTGCAAACTGAGGGGGGAAGCAGACGAGAGCTTCCCAGACGCCCTGGGCCGGCGCGCCGCGGGGCCGCAGCCTCCGCACCTCGGCGCACCGGCGGCGACCCTGGAAGGAGCGCTAAATCAGCGCTCCTTCCTCAAGACAGCGAAAGTGCGCACTAACAGCGGCGGGCGCACTTTCGCTGTCTTTTCCGCCGCGGCGCGTTCGGCTGCCGCGGCGTGAGGTCTTCCCCGGAGCGCCGGCCGTGCGGAGGGCCGGCGACTCCGAGGGCGACCTCAGGGAGAGGAAGGGGCGCCGAACGTGCGGCTGCCCCTCCTCTTCCAAGCCTCCAAGACGACTCTATTAGTCGTCTGCCGAGGCCCTGAGTCTAAATGTTTGTGTCTGCAGGCTTTCTGGTTTTAGACACCTTGAAACAGAACACCCAACACAACAGTGTTTATGCCTAGCATGAATTATCTAGATGGACTGGAATGATCACTCAATGAGAGTGATAATTGACTATATGGGATGACAGATATCTCATCTCACTAGGAGGCCCAAATGGGCCCATATCATTACCCTTTTATGGAAAGGGGGACAGTGGCCACAGAAGGACAGGGCCAAGGCATCAACAGTGAAGGAGTCAAAATTTAAGGTGGCTGAACATTGGGCGATATGTAAGGAAATGGAACTCTGTCTAAACTTTGTGTGTGTGAAGGGGAAACATATAGATATGTTTGATTAGAAGAACTTCAGTGTCACGAATAACTCAAATGGCTCACTATGTACATCAGCAGACTCACCAGATGAAAGCACTCAGTTGTAGGAACTATCTTTAACCAATCTGAAGTAGCCTCAGAACTCACAGGTGTTGCGATAGCAGCAGCCACTGGCAAACCAAGGCAAATATGCACTTGTTCAGATGGTAGTCGAACCACTCACGGTTGTAGAACCCTCCTTGATTAATGTGAGGCATAACTTCAGAATTTAGAGGTGTTGGGACAGCAGCAGCGACTGGGAAGCCAAAGTGAGAACATTTTTATTCTAAGACATCAAAATGAGATGTTATGTTAAGTATTATTAATGTTTAGGGCATTTAGAAGCCTTCATCAGAGACTGGGAGGCTGGCAGCAAGTAACTCACTATAATATTTAAATCATATCTAAGTTCTTGCCTTTTTAAAGTCCATATCAGTATAGGACATGAGTCCTAATTTGAAATAAGGAGAGGCAAAATTATCTAACTGAATAACATTAAAGTAACACCGTAAAATCAAAACTGGTAATTAGAGCAGGCCAATATAAAAAGAAAAGCACATGAAACTTTTTGTCTGAAATATAGCCTATGGCAAAACAATCAAGTCATTTAAATCTAAATCCAAAAGGCTTCCTCTGAAATACAGAAGAAGCAAAATTAAAACAATAATTGTAATTAAAAGTCATTGACTCAGAATGAATGAATGAATTAAATTTATTACAGCTGATGACCAGTATAAAAAAAAGCAAAAAAGCAAAAAACAAGAAAATACATCAAACGTTATCACATATAAGGTTATCACATACTGAGAGGGGTAGTATTATACATGAAAATTTTTATCAATAACTCAAAATCTGAATAGATTTAGAAACTGTAAAGTAAAAAAAAACACCATTCTAATAATACACACATTAAAATTTAGAGCACCATCCTACGATGGTAAGCTATTGCCCCAACACAAAAACTTGCCACCTTTAAATGACTCTGACCGCTGATCAGCCAGGAGGTAATTAATATAAAATGTGTCAGTTATTCCTGGTATTTTTTGTAAAATTGGGGCTATAAAACAGCACTGGAGATCATGGTAAAAGGTACAAAACAATAAAACATGTCCCACTGTTTCTACCTCCCCAGACACACAAGGACATAGGCGTTTACACAGCGGTTTATCATTATATCTTCCCTCGAGTAAAGCCGAGGGAAATACATTAAATTTAGCCAGAGTAAAGGCTTTCCTATACTTTGGATTTGTTAAGTTGTTCAAATACGCTGCAAGGACAAAGCCTCCCCCACTATCTTTAAATGCTGAATGTAGGGAGGCTGCAATTATATGATTGTGTAATTCAATGTCCCAGATGCGTTGGCAAATATTCCCTTTGGCTTTTGCATATCCCATGGCAAGAATAACAGATTGTGAGAAGCCCAGGGATTGCACTTTTTCCTCAACTATCATTTCCCGTCTTGACTTGAATATATCACTGTGAGTCAAAGGGGCTAGACCCTTGGGGGTAAATAACATTTTTAGCCAAAAATCTAACTTATATATCCATATTTGCAATTATGGATAAAAAATTCAACCTGAGAGAAAATTTGGCACACAACTTGGGAGGCTGTGAATAGTTCTCAGAAATTTGTTTGAACAGATTCCAAGGCTGGAATATTTTTGAACACACACACTTATGCTCCAAATAACATCAGAATCAACAAAATTAAGAGAGACTCAGAAAAAAACAATTTCTTGGCAAGATGTGTTCAGATGGGGTTTGTCATTGCATTCCTCTGAGGCTGAGAGAATGTGACTCTTTGATGGGTTTTTCTTGGCAAAATATATTCAGAGACGGTTTGACATTGTCTTTTCCCGAGGCTGAGAGAGTGTGACTCCCATGAGTTTTTTTGCAAGATGAGTTGAAAGGGGATTTACATATGTCTTCTTCTGAGGTTGAGAGAGTGTGACCCATCCAAGGCCAATCTGAGAATTGAACCCTGATCTTGAGTCGCAGTCAAACACCCAAACCACTGCACCACAGTGGCTCCCAACACAATTAAAATAAAAATTAGAATTGGCTATTTATATGGAACAGAACCTGTAGTAAATAGCTTGTAAGGTCATACAGTCTCCAGTGGGATGCAAAATAAACCAGGAAAAAACCTTTTCTGTGTCTTTGGATGAAAGAAGGAGAGAGGGGAAGGAAGAAGGAAAGGGGGGGATGGTTTCACACCAAGGCCTAATAGACAGAAAAGTAGGAAGAAAGAAAATGAGAAAGGCAAAGGAGAAAGAAAGAAGGAAGAGGAAAGTATGTTTATACATATTATCAGTATTGAAAAGCTTATTCAACCTCACAAGAATAGCAGATATTAAATAAAGAAAGCACTTTAGTGTGAACCCTATTTTTATATATATATATATATATATATATATGGTTATAGGCCCTCAAACAACCAAGCAGACCCAGTCCCAACCAGGCCACAAGGCGCTGTAAAAAAGCAGACAAGGGGAAAAGAAAGAAAATGTTAGTAAAGTGGGCTTGGGAGACTGAGGGGGATTGCAGATGGGCAGCTCTCGGCCGCCCCTGGGAGTGGTGGATTCAGGCCACGGCAGCCTCACGCCGTGGCCCCAATCTTCCCTTTTGCTGCCCCGAAAAGAGAGGCAAATTGCCACTCCTTTTAGGGGTGGCAAAAGGCCACCCTAAGAGCCAGTGTCTGACTCTTCAGCGCTATTTTCAGTGCAGTGTGTTTGAACGCTGTGCTGGAAGGGTGTCCTGACACCATGTGTCATGTGTAATGGTGCACAGTGTCAGGACAGCATTGGCATGGGGTTGGGGTGACCGGCATGTGGCCACCCCGGCCCAACTCTGCCTCCAGGCGGCCCTTTAGGCCAGTCTGCAGAGGCCCTGAAACAACAAAAAATCCCCATGGGCCTCTCCCAACACAAGCACAAAAGTGGTGGGTACACAAAGCAGACAAAAAAGAGACTTTTAAAAACAACTAGTGGTCAGCCTGTCCCTGAGGTTGAGAAAGTGTAACTTGTCTAAGACCCCAGTAAATAAGGGGTGGGGGTGATTTAGAATGAAGTCAAGAGTCAATAAAAGATACTTTGCATCCAAGCAGCCCCCAAAATTGTACCCAAAACACAACCTGGAGCCTCAGGTCACTCTGGGAAGACTAGAGGAAAGAAGTCCCTTGACTAGGTTTTATAGCACCAAGCCCACTAAAACTTATCCAACACAAAAGTCTAAAAGCCTGAAAAGCAAGACTCAATTACTGGGAGCCTTAAAGGAAAAATACAGGGAGAGAGGAAGCAAACAGGGGAAAGCCCTCCAAATTGAAAAGAGGAGTTTGGTTGGGAATCAAGCCAAAGGACCTGAAAACCAGGGAAAGAAATCGCCAAGCCAGACTCCACAATATAAGCCACCAAAAATTATTCAAAATAAAGGGCCTCTGTAGACAGGTGGCTCTGGGCAACCCTGGAAAGCAGCAGATTGGGGCTGCAGCAACCCCACACCATGGCCCCGATCCTCCCTTTTGCTGCCCCCAAAAGAGCAGCAAAATGCCACTCCTTTTAGGGGTGGCAAAAGGCCACCCTAAGAGCTGGTGCGCAGCTCTTCCTTGCCCTTTCTGACACAGCGTGTCAGAACGCTGTGCTGGGAGGGTAACCTGATGCTGCATCCAGCATCAGGACAGCATTGACGTGGGGTTGGGGCAGCTGGCATGCAGCTGCTCTGCCCCAACTCTACCTCCAGGCCAGCCCTTTGGGCTGGTTTGCAGAGGCCCCAAAAGGCTAGAAACTGAAAAGGCAGGCCTTAACCATAAAAAGATCAAGATGAAATAAAATAGCCAAGTCTGGCAAAAAAAAAAAAAAAAACAGTCCAAAGGACACTTAAGAGTGTACAAACCAAAACATAGCCAAGGAAATCCAGGACTTCAGCTGATCTGCTTCTGTTTCCATCAATCTCCTGATCCAGAATGGAGAGCTGTGGGGAGGCAGGGCTCAAATCACCAATTTAAATTTGTCCCCCTGTTCCAGGGAGGACAGCAAACTATGCATCATCCCCCAACGTTTCTGTTGTGGGGGTGGTGCAGATTATTTGAGGGGTTTAAAATGAGGGTGTGTGTAGATGACATTGATGGTTTTAAAATGTCTACATCCATGCAAAAACAGATAGGGAAGGGAATATAAATGAGGAAAAATAATGAGAATGTGACCTGAAAAAAGGAGGGTCAGAAGGAAAGTAACCTGCCTCCATTAAGAACTCAGCACAAAGGTAGTAACAAAAGGCAGAGATCATAAGCTCCTCTTGGCATTGAAGGAGCACTCCCACCCCATTACCCCCATTACTCACTCTGGAAAGAAGTGACCAGTGGAGTGCCACAGGGCTCTGTCCTGGGCCCAGTGCTATTCAATATCTTTATTAATGACTTGGATGATGGTATTGGGGGCATAGTTATCAAATTTGCAGACGACACCAAATTAGGAGGAGTAGCTAATACCCCAGAGGACAGGATCAAAATTCAAAATGACTTGAACAGACTAGAAAGCTGGGCCAAAGCTAACAAGCTAACAAAATGAAATTGAACACGGGGAAATGTAAGGTACTGCACTTAGGGCGGAAAAATGAAAAGTACAGATATACAATGGGGGACACCTGGCTGAATGAGACTACGTGTGAAAGGGATCTAGGAATCCAGGTGGACCATAAGTTGAACATGAGTCAACAGTGCGATGCAGCAACTAAAAAGGCCAATGCAATTTTAGGCTGCATCAGTAGTAGTGTCTAGATCAAGAGAAGTAATAGTGCTACTTTAGTCTGCTTTCATCAGGCCTCACTTGGAATACTGTGTCCAGTTCTGGGCACCACAATTC